AGAATATGAGACAGATAATCTGTGTAAAAATCAAGCTCCTCTGGCTCCTCCCAGTGGTCCTATTGCCATTTGCAAGAAATACACGCTCCCGGTCAGAAACAACCAATCAGAGCCAGGAGGAATGTCTTAGCAGTGTCAATCACGCTCGTGTACTCGCTGATCACATCCCTCTCTTGCACAGTGCGAGCCGTCGTTCAAACTCAAGATTGCCGGCGTGCTGCAGCTGTGCTCATGACGGAGAAACAACCTAAACTGCCAATTCTCGAGTGACACCTGCTCATAAAACAAAGAGGTAAAAGGAAAAAGACTGATGACGATAAACAAGCGAAAAAGAAAGAATTACACAGAGCCCATTGACTCGGTGTCAAAACTCTAGCCGCATAACATGTAGATAAAATGTCACGCACTCTGCTAAGCAACAATTGAAACCTGCTAATTCACTGGCTTGTCATGTTGCTGAAATAATGTACTAGCACACCTTATCTAGCATTATATATCGCTAGAATAATTACTTGCATACTGTAACGTTAGTACCGTTATATTAACGTTATCTTACTAGCTATTTATAACTTATAGAAAGAGTGCAACGTTATAAAGTTACATGTAGGCTATTGCAAAATACATAATGATTTGAGGACCAAGTTTGTAGTCAAAGTATGGGCAGGTCATAGTCAATGTAAAGCATATTGTTGACGTTTAGTCCCTATAGTGAATGTGCCATATAACTTTTTATCCGCTGTTATCTGTGGCCCTGTTTACTAGCCTGCGCGTTCACGACAGGCTCCGCTGTGGAGGACGAGCTGTGGAGGGAGGGCTGTAGCGCAGCAGAGAGCAAGGGGGTGGGACCTGTAAGTTGTGCTTGTTCAAATTTTCAGGCTAAGTCAACGTTTTCTCAAAACTCCCTACTGCAGCTTTAAGTGGCGTTCTCTTAACTCCAAGTCCTCCAGAGTCGCGGCCAAATCCGATTCGAAAGACCGCTGTTCGCCAGCAGCATCTTCTTTGTTTTCAAGCATAGGGAAATCACCTATGGAAATCACGCGGAACCGTCATAACTCTGCCGTCATTATGTTAAGCCCGCCCACCAACTCTATACACGATCTGATTGGCCGGACCAGTTTTTGGTTTTTCCAGCTCAAAAGTCTATGGAGAGTTGCTAGACCACACTTTGCTGCAAAATAATTTTTGCTGCCGCTAGAGTGCGTCTAGATTTCTAGGCTAGTTAAATACAATATTAGAGCCAGTATTTGGAGTTAGACAATGTGAAGATAAAGTGAATCTGCAGGGTTTTGTGTTTAATGCATGTGACCATTTATCAAACCATGCCATAGTTTCAAAGTGAACTAAACTCAAGAAGACCTCCTGACATGGTTATTTTGGAGGTTTCACATACACTTGCATGATTTTCAGGGCTTTTTTTTCTCTGAAATGCTCTTGCGCAATGTACATGAGTGGCAGTGTGCTGCTGAAAATCTGCACAAACAGCTTCTCATACATGCACATCGGCAGGTCTTGTTCTGTCTGTTCATCAAGATACAATAAAATGTGTTTTTTTTTTCAAGTGTGTCTGTTGCTTGCATCTAAACAATAGCATTTCTTGTCAGATTTCTGAGATGTCTCACAAGTCTCATACAGTCACTTAGATGAGCAAAATTACATGCCATTGCCTTCATCTGATTGTTGCCAGGTGGTAAAATCCTGGTTGGGATCTTTTGAAATAATGTACAGAGCAGTAGGTGCTACCAGCCTGATCTCATGAAATGCGTCTCTACAATGTATTTATCGTGCAATTTATACTCAAAAATTTGTTTTTATGTGGATATGATAAATACATAGAACAATAAATACAATGCATGCCATAGAGAGGCATTTTATGAGAACGGGTTGGTGCTACTCACAGAAACAACCGAAGGTTTGACTTTAACATATTTTGATCTTCTGGGCCCGTATTCCTAAAGAATCTAAGAATCCTTTTAGAAAACTCTTAATTTAGCTTAAAAACTTTTACGTAGGAGTCTTAGCTTAAGAGTGATTCGGGACCGATCTGAGAGCAACTCTGAGTAAGGAAAAGACAAAAACTCTCATCTTAGTGAGGAGGCGGGGCTGACCCCGTTGCTATGTATGACACAATCTTTTGAAGACTGTGATTGGTTGGTTGTCCAAGAAGGAAAAAAAAGAGCCATTTTAAGTATAGAGTTTACTCACACACACACACACACACGCACATTATTTTTATGTATATAAATCCTTTTTTTTACCTTGCTGTTAATTTGATTGGCTTAGAATGATAAAAATTGTTCCACTCTTTCCAATTACACTGATTGCTGTCTATTTAAGTGGTGGTTTGAATGTTTGTTTTGAAAACATGGATTAAAAAACAAGAAAGACGAGAAAGCCTGACTGGTCAGAAGAACCGTGTTTACTGTTAGCCGAGTTAGTGGATGAACACTAGGCCGTCCTTAAAGGAAAATTCGGGCAGGGTGTCACAGCATGGAGCGAGAAGCGGACGTGGGAGCTTATAGCGCACATTATTAACGGTTCATTCCCCTGCTTGTGCGCACCAGGGAAGCCTGCTATATTCATAAATACAGTTTTTTGAGCCTGCAAGGTGGGAATGTCCAGTGGAAACTAAATGAACTGCGACACAATAAGAGGTTCTGAAAGTGCTGTAATGTTTGTGTGATCACTGCTTACAGAAGGTTGTCACAGACCCAAATTACTATTGCTTTATTGCATTTTCCCATTTGCCAAATATCTTAATGTAGTGATCATTTCTGGCGTTATGGCATTCCTGCGCTGTGTCGGAGATATTAGCGTGTCTCTAATAAGATCAGTCACAAACATGATCACTACATTAACTACATCACACACTGTCGTCATCTATTGTCTGCATCACATTTCTTCTCCCTCTTCATCGTTCTGTCATTTTCTCCTCTGCTAAAGAAACTCTTAAGCCTCTTAAAAGTCCTCATCCATACTCCTAACAATTTTGACCTTAAGACCTCTTTTAAGGGTTAAGATGCTTTCTGAATTACTTTTTTCTTTACTAGGATTTTTTCTTTAATTTTAAGAGTAAACGCCCACATTTCTAAGAATTTTCTTAGAATTTTGTCACTAGGAGCTACTTTTTACATTAAGATTCTTTAGGAATACGGGCCCTGGTGTTTATAAAAGTAAATCCATCCAAAAGTATCCATCTTACCTCTATTTCTTTACCGTGACTTTAAAAAAAAAAAAATACATTGAACTCTTATCTTAAAAGATCTTAAGAATAACCTGTCTCCTCAAGATATGATCTATTTAAGAGTAAAGTTTGAAAACTAGCGACTTCTGTTGACGTAATGGGCCCTATTTTAACAACATAAGTGTATGGTCTAAAGCACACAGCGCAAGTGCACTTAGGGCGTGTCTGAATCCACTTTTGCTAGTTTAACGGCGGGAAAAATGGTCGGTGCACCCGGCACATGGTCTAAAAGGGTTGTCCCTATTCTTAATGAGTAATGGGTGTGTATTGGGCATAACGTGCAAAAAAAAAAAAAAATCAAAGTCTCATCTCCCATTACATTTAAAAGCCAGTTGTGCTCGCGTCATGGCGGATTCGCTACTTACATGGCGGAATTTGCAAGCAGAAAGACTGAATGCTTCTGCAGAGAGGAAACGGATCTGCTCGTGCACGAGGTTAAAGCGCACAAGCAGACCATCTACAGTACAGGACAAGCCGGATTACACCATATCTACCATATGTACACAATAATAATCTTTTACATTGTAATCCTTTAATTTTTAATATTTGGCATGTTTGTGTGCTGCTGCGCGACCCTGTGTGTGTAATAAGCAGAGTGCAAGCGCATTGTGCACCCGGCTATAGGCGCACATTAATAATGCGTCCTTTATATTACAAAAAAAAAAACTGCACCATTGACATTAGACCAGGTTTTTGTTGGTCAATGGTGCAGTCTATTTCAGTTGCCTCAAAATAGCAACATGCCAACAATGCGGCGCACAGATGGGCGCAAATGCATTTGCTATTTAAACAACGTGGCGCAGGAAATGATAATGAAAATGATAACGGCGTCGGGCTGAAACTAGCAAAAAAAACACTTGTGTCGCACCTGCCGCTGCATTGTGCCAGGTGTATGAGAGGGCCCAGAATGTTCACCAGAATCAGCTTATGCTGAAATTGGCCATCATAATGGCCCACCCGCAGATGCTAATGTCAGCTAAGCCCTGATCTATTTGTATCACATTCGCCAGCTTTCATTTTATTTTCTTGATTATTTTATTAAAAACATGATGTTTTTACTGCTTTGTAAGCATTTGTATTTCCATGAGGAAATGCAAATCTAGTTTTTAATAATATCAGTATCCAGGCCTAGTGATGCCTCTCAAGGGAATTTAAATAAATACAGGGAGTGGTAAAAAGATATCTAGGGAGAAGAATGGAGCAGAACAGATGGCTGTGAGAAAGAGGAGCAGGAGGATGGGCGAGCGACATCTCACCCCTCACTCGCTCTCTTGACAGCTCCCATCCTCCATCTCCTCCCTAGTGCAAAGCGAGCTGGGTAATTTTACTTGTGTACAACCAAGCCCCAGGCGGCACTCTGTAATAAGCATGGCACAGAAGCACAGGTAAATAAATCTGTGTGATGAAGCACCATACACCACAAGGATGACAAGTACCTCCACTACTGGCTCCAAACAGCATTTCAGTATCTACTGTATATCTGCCATGGTGCGCAGTTCATATGAAGATGTTCATTTTGGGATCTAACAACAAAATGACAGAGTGGAAAAAGACTCAAAATGTCCAAGCAGCTAAATTTTTTACAATACAATAAGGATGCTGGTGAGGTGTTTAACCAAGATCTTGAAAAAAAAATCTCTGTCTTTTTCCCCCAAACAATGCAAAAACGCTTCAGCAGATTTTGTTGGCAATCCTCAAGAGTATATGAGAGGAATAACAGCATCTTAGAAAACTAAACACTCTGAACAGCACAACAGACCTTCGTATTCAAGGACGCTTCTGCTCGCCAGGGTACCTGGGGTTTGGTGGAGGCTGGGGGCAGTGTTGGGGGATGCTCGTCGATTTCCGTGGTTACCAAAATGGGGGAGAGACGGGAGGGAGCTTCAGTGAGTGGAGTATTGTCGTAATTGGGAGAGGAGGTATAAAGACCATCATCAAATGCATTCATGTCCTTCAACAAGGAGTCTAATTCTGGTTCAGGGTCATAGAGATCCCCTAAGAGAAAAAGAGAGAGAAACTATGGTTGGTTTTTAATCAAATTAGCATTTAAAGTCCAGACCTGGCAATTTTCTGAAATCACTACTTACACTACTCCATTTAGGGCCATTTGGACACCTCAGGACTTTATTGTTTAAAATATTTAATTTACAAACACTGCCGGTCAAAAGTTTAGAATAATTATGATTTTGAAAAATGTTTTTGAAAGAAGTCTCTTATGCTCAGCAAGGCTGCATTAATTTTAACAGTAATATTGATGGAATATTTTACAACTTAAAATAACTGTTGTCTATTTTAATATATATATATAAAAAATAAATAAAAACTCTGTCATCGAGAGAGCATTTTAAACATTTATTTCTGTGATGATGTCAAAGCTGAATTTTCAGCATCATTACTCCAGTCTTCAGTGTCACATGATCCTTCAGAAATCATTCTAATATGCTGAGTTGGTGCTCAAGAAACATTCCTTATTATTATCATTGCTGAAAACAGTTTTTGTTAATGCAACCCCTCACAGTTGCATTGGATTTTCTCCTTAGTGTAAATGTTGAGAGGTCCATCTATCACTGTTTTCCATGTTCGTAGAGTTAGTTTCTGGAGTAAATATATCTAGGCGTTTCGCATATGTTCGGCCAATCAGCTTACACTTCCGTCCACTATTGTGCTGGGTTAGACCCTACTCCGAAGTATGAGCTAATTTAGTTACCCCAAAAGGCATTTCTAGAACTAAAATCGTGCTAGTTCCTGCGGTACGAACACGCCAAAAAGCGGGTACTTCCACTATTAGTTCTAAAGGTTCCTCCAGTGCAAAACCCATGGGTAATGGTGATGGGTTACCATCAATTGTTTGGTTACCCATATTCTTCAAAATATCTTCTGTTGTGTTCAGCAGAAGAAATAAATTCATACAGGTTTGGAACAACTTGAGGGTGAGTAAATGATGCCAGAATTTTCATTTTGGTGAACTATCCCTTTAAGACATGTTAGTATTGTAACTTGTAAGGTAAAATAAAAGTTTCTGTCTTAATTTTTTGTATTTCGTTTTAAATAATAATAATGATTTAAAAAATATATATTATTCAAATAAATAAAAAAACTGAATACAAATGTGAACACAGACACTATCACAACTAAAAAAGAGTCCTCTCCTTTTTTTTCTCTCTGTTCAATCTGATCACTAAAAGAAGTCTTGGTTCTTGTAAAGATTGAAGCCAATTGTGAAAACCCAATGCAACTATTGCCATTGAGAATGGTTTCTTTGTTCTTTTGCCTGGATGTTACAACAAGAAAGATACAACATCAGAACCATGAACATGCGAGTACGTTCTTAAATTATTATATACATTTTCATTTAAAATCTCAGGTTTTTTTTTTTAAGAAAATCTGTTTTATGTCAAAGAGGATTGGCTGATAAAAAAACGTTTGGGAATCCCTGCCAAGGAGAAAAGAAAATCATACAAGTCTGAAGCAATATGTGACTGAGCAAATGTCAACAGAATTGTCCTTTTTGGTAACAATTGTAAAATCTTATCTGGCTAACTGAGTATAGTTAGCCAGAAAATATTTTACATTCTACAAAGAAAGGTTAAAGGCATTGTTCACAGAAAAATGAGGTTCCACTTTATTTCGATAGTCTTTGTTTCGATAATTCTACTAACTATAAGTAATTTTGCAACTACATGTCAACTAACTCTCATTAGAGTATTAGTAGACTTTTAGTAGACTGTTAGGTTATGATTAGGTGTTAGGGTTCAGGTTAGTAGAATAAGTTGATTTGCAGTTGCCAAGTTACTTATAGTCTGTCGGGGGACCATCAGAATAAAATGTTAGCAGATATTAAGCAAATAGTCTACTAACAGTCTACTAATACTCTGAGAGTTTGTTGACATGTAGTTGCAAAGTTACTTATAGTTAGTAGCAGGGGCGGTTTCTTCATTAGGGCGATTGGGCGACGCACCACCAAAGTGTAAAAGTGACTTTTTCAATCACATTCACAATCTCATTCAACCACAGAGTTACGCTAGCCGTCACTATAGTCCAATCAGCGTCATGTCACGTTCTGTAGAGTACCGCCTCTTTTTGGGCGATTTCACTATGGCTGAGAATCGCCCAGAGTGTTCCCATAGACTTGCATTCAAAGATGGTTTTTTTCTAACTGCAGGCACTGCAATGCATTCTCTATGGGTTCCGGGAGGGCTCGCACTAACGTGCTTACGTCATCATACGTATCCTTAACTTGTGCAGCGATTGGTGGGAACAAACACACACTATTAAAAATCTTTAAGATTAAGTGACAAATAATATTTGAAAACAATTTTGAATTTGAATAACAAGAAAAAATGAAACACTACTATAATATCTTTATCAAATGTGATTAAAAAAATAAAAATAAAAAAGAACGAGAGCGAGAGAGACTGTTGGGACCAGTTGAACTTGAACAACGTCATGGCGAACGCAGTCATAACACAGTCATTTATCGTGTCATTAAAATAAATACCATTCAGCCCGTCGTAGTAATCAGCATACATTGAGCAGGAGCAAGTAGCAACAGGAACAACAAGATCTAGGAGGGCCTTGGGAGAAGAAGACAAGCAGAGGCTGTCTAAAGAGGTATTTATTGCTGAACATTTTAATACTCGAGTGTTGGAAAATCTCACTTTGTTTTTACAATCAGTTTAGGAAAGGATGGTAGCAGTCTTTTTTACTCCTAGCATTGTACTTTGAAATTTGTACATTTCCATTCGAACACCAACACAATCTTTATCCTACATGTCAACGATTCAGTCAACAATATTATTTGTCGCCACCTAGTGGAATCTTTAATAAAATAACTTAAACTATCTGAGTGGATTGAAAATACATTTACTGGTCAAAAACCCTTGTCAAACTCCATTTGAGCTTGAATTTTGGTAAAATGTTAATTAACGTAATAACACACACACACACACACATCATCAGCGCTGTCGGACGGAAGCCTTGTATGTCCAAAACTGTTACAAGTTGCCTTTACATGCTTAAGCTGTTAATTTATCCATTGCATGGGTGGACCTTATCCTTATCAATAATCCAAACTGGTTTGCATTTGCCAAACATTTGCCCCCCCTGAGAGATTTTGCAGGAGCCGCCACTGGTTAGTAGAATGTCTAAAGTGGACTATCGGAATAAAGTGGAACCTCATTTTTCTGTGAACAATGCCTTTAACCTTTCTTTGTAGAATGTAAAATCTTTTCTGGCTAACTATACTTAGTTAGCCAGATAAGATTTTACATTCTTTCAGAATGTTCAGAAAATCTTTATTACCTTTAGCGCGACCTTTGTCTCTTTTGCCTCCCTGCTTTCTGTGCTCAGCCAGATGCCCATGGCCACATCTCCTGCCTTTACGATTGAACTCTCCCTCTGGTGAATGATTTCCCCGCCGCATATGAGCAGGACCCCTGACTTCATCGTGAACCTCCACCCTCATACTGTCTCCAGGCCCCATCTCCAGCCTTACAGGGCTCAGACCCTCTAGACTTGTCCCATCATCCTCCAGTCGGTCCACAGGCCTTCGAGAGAGCAGCCCAGCATTATCACTCTCTTTGCGTGACAGGTGTCTTCTTCGCTGGCTGTCGCCCAGAAGACCCATGTCAGGGTCTGGCTTGGAGTCAGTGGTGGAGGTGGAAGACCTGGTCAGACTCTGTTTGGCATTTTCAGATGGGATCTCAGAGCTGTGCGAGGTGTGGGACAGTGTGATAAGGAGCAGGGCAAAGAGATGACACAAGCCCGGAGCTGCCATCTTCAAACACAGCGCCACCTGCTGGTTAGGGGAAAATCAGGTCAGCTCAAGACAGAGGGATAGAGTATATTTTCACTTTAAATACATTTGAGCGTACACATCTTATTTATTACATATAAGGGATCATTCATTCCTAAATATCATTAACTATGAGGGGAGGTTACACCACATGACGTTTAGAACTAACACTGACTTGTCATAAAGTCATCAAATTATCTGATATTGTAAGAGACTAATGGACCCTTTTCAACTGCTGTCATGACACGTTTCCGCAGTTAAGCTGGAGATCATAAATCGATCAACAATTTTTATATTTTCATTTTTAAAAAGTTGAATATTCATTTATAACTCTATAATTTGTGCTTTATTAGCTTTGCATAAAATCACAGAAAACTGGTAAAAAGTTATTGCACACTGAGTCCTAAATTTCATATGCGTTTTTCCGTATTCGTCATTCGGTGGCTCTGAATTGTCAAAACACCTCTCAAAATGCTTGCTACGGATGCAAAAAAACGCAGAAAATCGAAAAGTTTCTGAGGCATTGTGCAAAGGTGATTGACAAAACACGAGGTCATATTAATTTTTTAACGTGAGAAAAATTTTCAGACGAGAATTTCGTACTCAGTATGCAAGCACCTTAAAGGGATAGTTCACTTTGAAATACATTTTTGGTATGTTTTAGCTTACCTCAAGGGCATCCAAGATGTAGGTGTCTTTGTTTCCGCAGTAGTTTCAATTTTGATATTTTTAGGTCAAACCGTTCTTGTCTGTCAGTCATATAATGCAGGTCTATGGTCACTTCCTCAAAGAGCATGCACAGAGAAGTCCAAATTATACATGATTTAATGACTCGTAAATGTTAGTACACATCGATGGCCTAAGACACGAAACGAGCGGTTTGTGTGAGAAAACGAACAGTATTTATATCGTTTTTACCTCTTGTAAACACAGCCACATCCAAGTGATCTGAGGGCGCGGGCGCTTCGGTCTGGTTACAAGAGGTAAAAACGATATAAATACTGTTCGTTTTCTCACACAAACCGCTCGTTTCGTGTCTTAGGCCATCGATGTGTACTAACATTTACGAGTTATTAAATCATGTTTAATTTGGACTTCTCTGTGCATGCTCTTTGAGGTGGTGACCATAGACCTGCATTATATGACTGACAGACAAGAACGGTTTGACCTAAAAATATCAAAATTGAAACTACTGCGGAAACAAAGACACCTACATCTTGGATGCCCTTGAGGTAAGCTAAAACATACCAAAAATTTATTTCAAAGTGAACTATCCCTTTAACGCTGCTGAGTGAATGTATCTAATATAACATTTGAGGGAGAGACAGCAAATTTGACATCTTTCTCTCTTCTGAAAAATTGTATCAATCTCTCAATATTTTTAATCTTTTAGAAAGTCATAGAAACGTTATCGTAGAGTTTACTATTGGGGAAAATGAGTACGCAAAGAAATATTTATATTTGTTGTAGTTTGTTTTCGCCACAAAAAATATCATTATAATTTAAAAACCTAAAAACATGCTCATCATGGAAAAGGTGTTATTAAAGTCACTGTATGTATAAATTACATTTTTTTATGTATTTTTGAATAAATGAATAGATTAATCATCATGTTGTTAACATGATGATTAATTTATTAAAGTCACTGTATGTATAAATTACATTTTTTTATGTATTTTTGAATAAATGAATAGATTAATCATCATGTTGTTAACACACTTACAGACTACTCATAATATCCAATTAGACTGACAGACCACTCATAACATCTAACTGCACATCTCAATGTTTGTGTACAAGAATCCAGCCCTGACAAAAATTTTGGATATTATGGCCAATATCCCCATAATAATAATGCTTATTATAACTTATCTTAGTTAGCTAAGCTTAAATTAATCAAAACCGGAAAAAAGACACATTTTTAAGGAAAAAAAATTCGACTAACACATTGGCTAGAAGTTTAAATCAGGACATCTCAAACCAGAGCATCATAGTACACCCACAAACTTACTCACATATTTAAATAATAGCCTTGCTTTGACATGAAATAAACAAGAGCTCAAAGGCAACCTAAATGTGTTGAGAAAACTTGCCAGACTAAATATCATGTTTGGATTCCCACTAGGCCAAGAATAAGAGGATCCAAAGGAAGAATCTTTCCTCAGGTGGCATATCAAAGTCAAGCTTATGAGGAGGTTCTTACCATGCATCTCACCATGCAAATCAGTGACATGGGTCTTACTTTGATCATATGAGGTCTCCTCTCATCCTCAGATTTTCCCCTTCTAAATCTGGCCCCTTCACTCTGTATTTTGTCCCTGAGAGCTGTTCACGTTGCCTCAAACACCAGGCATCTATTCCTGCATCTAAGACTGGCACCAGAGGTACTGATTACAAACATGCTAACTTTACATCTAAGATGTCTTTAGATTTCTGATTATTTGTCATATTTGTAATGATAGAGTAAGGTTATTATTATGATGGATTCAAGTCATGTTGGAATGATTTAGGAATGTCACCAATAATTACTTGTGGGAAACTCTGGAAGTAAAGTGTGTATACATTTTGTGTATTATTGATGAGGAATAGCAATGAAGCTTACCAGAAAATACCATTCATTCAACCGGTTATGTGGTATCAGGCTTGTGTGATCAAACCACTTTTTTTCTAGTGATAACAAACTTCCTGCCTTTATTAGCAAGTGAAAAGAGAGCAAGAAATATGAAATTGCCCAAAAAGACAATTTTATTCTAAACTAAAATCACTTGATGCTAAATATTCCACTAGTAAGACTATTTAGGTCAATTCAATTTCACATTCAATGTAAAAATTGAGAAGAAATTTAGAAATGTGCCCAAAGCCCTTATTTGAAAGGCACGGTTAATGGCTCCAACGCATTGTAAATAATAATAGAATTTTTTAATAGAATGCAATCACAACCAAATACACTGCATGCTGATTTCCTAAGGGCTGCACTGAAAAGGTAGCTACACATGTAGAAATATGCAAGTGAAATCCTCATTTGTTAAGGTGTACATATTAAGATATCCTCATTAGGCAGCCATTTTACAGTTTAGTCACCAGATCCATTTTACCTGGCACAAATGGGGTTTTTTTTGTGGTACATTAATGAATAAAATTATATGGATAATTAAACGACGGATTGGAGATTTTGGTGGCAGAGAGGTGGATCAAACAGCAGCCATTTAACTATTTATAAACAAAGAAGGTAATCTAAATCACAGGAGTAGAAAAGATGTAACTTGTACTTGTAATGTAGTTTGGAATCTGCATGAAAACAATACTGAATAAATGGCTGAACCAAACGCAGGTCTTAAATATACAGGAAATAACAAGCCACTAAACTAGAAACAGGTGTACAGCATAATCAGTTACTATGGAAACAAATTAGTGATTAGAACAAAGGAAACCAAAAGGAAACACAGGAAACAAGAATATACAAGCTAAAAGTCCATGGAACACAAACTGAAACTAAACATAACACCAGGTTTTTTTTGTGGAGGGAACATGCACAAATGACACTTACCCTATCACTCTATTCATTTATTTATATGTGAAAGTTTTGAGAAAATTAAAGTTCACCCATTATTCATTTGGGCTGGCTGAATATATGAAAATCCCAATATGTACAACATTCCATATAGTACATATTAAAGAAAAAAGCTCCACAAATGTTTTGCCGCTTAAGATGCATGTAAAACTATCATAGGAGGACATTACTCTTCATTGCCTTGGTGACTGGAGAGCACATTAAGAAGACTTAGATTGCAGCTCCATCTCACACCATTATTGCCTTTTAATTGGTATCTCAGTGCTATGATTTAGGTAATGAATCAAGCTCAATGAAATAAAGCAGAATTTAATGAGAGTCTGGTACAACTGGCGGTAATGAGAAGAGTTTAGTATGCCATGGTTTATATAACAATATGCAATACAATATTTGTTTATAAAACACATTTAAAAACAACCGAGGCTGACCAAAGTGCTCTACAGAAAAGAATAAAACTAAGAAAATAGAAAAATAAAACTACCAAAATTAAAGTCAAGTCAAGTCAAGTCATCTTCATTTATATAGCGCTTTTAACAATGGAGATTGTTTCAAAGCAGCTTTACAGAGATAAACATTTTTACGGAATTTACAGAATTTATAGAATTTATATATTTCATTTTTACAGAATTTACGGTAACAGAGATTGTTTTGGCTTTATAGCGTTTTTTGAATAATGTTATTTCCAGCTAAAGTTGGTTTTGATTGATTCACTTCCAGCAAAATTATCATTTGTTATTACATTAGGGGCCACTAAGACAACGGCGTTCTCTCTAAACAGACTTTAAATGCGAACCTGTGACCTGATGGCGTTCACATGCGCATTAAAAATTGATTCTATAGTTAAATTCGTTTGAATATGTGTGCGCAGGTTTGTAATTTCCCAACAAACCATGCCTAAACAAACTACTTGTCTTGCCTATAAATTTGATACAGAATTTTATTTTATCACTTCGCGGTACGCGAACCGGATTTTCAAGAACGCTTTATCTGTAGAGTGGGAAAGGGATCCTCCATAGGGAGAGGATAGTTGACACTTCAGCACTGCATTGTCATCGGGTCCAGGCGAATCTCCTTCGTCAGATCTGGATACGGCCTGGATCCGGCAGGCTGCAGGAAAGCCTCGGGATAAACAAAGACACTAAAGTTAGCGTAGATGCCATTCTTCTTATGATGTAACGAGTACATCTGGATTTAAGGGAAGTGTTCCCAGTTCCGGCTGACCTAATCTATGCAGCCTAACATTGAATTATCGAAGTCTATAATGTATTATGTGTATGCTAGGTTAAAGAGATGTGTTTTTTAAAAAGCACACAACAATAGTAAAACAATAATCCAACCTATGGTCAAGGAGTATTGAAAGCAAGAGAAAATAAATATCAAGAGAAAACAAAAGCGCGATGGCCTCGTTATTAAAGCCTGGATCTATACACGA